ATTAGCCAGGCATGGTGGCGGGCATCTGTAATCCCAGCTACTCAGGAGTAGAATCATTTGAACCCGGGAGGCAGAGGTTGCGGTGAGCTGAGATCACGCCATTGCACTCCAGCCTGGGCGACAAGAGTGAAACTCCATCTCAAAACAACAATAACAAAAACCTCGTAACAGTATGGAGCGCAAAGATTACCTTTCTTCCAATTACAAGATGAAGTTCTCAAGTTTACTGAGTTCCTTAATAACGAAGGAAAGTACTAAATAGAATAAGGAATACATCTAAAGGCAATTTTTCTTCTAGTATTAATAAATCATATACACTCAAATGAGAGGCACAATTTTTAATGGTTCCATATGACTCAACCTTTCTCTATCAAAATAAGGGAATTTGATAGAGTTGAGTAAAAAGTATTGAATTGGAATTTTCAATTTCAATATTGGTTTCACATAACAGCTCCCAGAACATCATGAGCAGAGAACTTGAGATGCTTTTGCTCCACTGCTTCTGAATCTTGTTTATAAAAGCTTAATTTCAACGTAATCACAAAAATTAATCTGGGGAACAATAAGTATCCTGAGTCTATGCATTTTTTGATAATTCAAGAAAAATTCAACATGCCTTTGGTATATAGTAGTGACAAAGTGAAAAATCATTTAATGATCAATCTGATTGCCTATCTCTTTTGAAGAATGATTATTTTAAAAAAATTGAATTATTTAAATGTGAAATCACAGTCATATGTTGGTTATTGCTGATAAGTAGAGTCATTTCTTAATTATTTGGAGCATATAATAGAAATGTTCCTTTCTCAAAATTATTTGCAAAAAAGAGTGGAAAATGTCTAACAGTGATTTCTCATCATCACATTATTTTTATATCAATGCCCTTCAATGAATAAAGGCTTTGAGTCAAACAAATGTGTTCAAATCTATATCTACTATCTGTTTGACACTTGGAAAATTATTTTAACACTCTGATCCTGGTTTCTCATCTGGAAAACCAAAATCATAATATTACCTTGATTGTTGGGTTATGTAAAATATAAAAGAAATGAGATGTTTGTAAAATTCTTAACATAATGCCTATCATCTCACAGGTTAGGCATCTTGCAGTTAGGTACTTGGGGGTAGCAGGAAGTATAAAAATATTCCTGAAACATAACAATAACAAAAGTGATAAGAATGACACTGCAGTATATGTTTTACATGGATTATCTCATTTAATTTTAAAACAATAACATAAAGTACTATTGTTATCCCCATTTTACAGATTAGGAAAATGAGACTTACAGGGTTTAAGAAACTTGTTAAGGTCACGCAGCCCATAGAAGGCAGAACAGGGATGAAATACATAAAGACAACAGCTATTATTATCATATTATTATCCTCACCATCACCGTCATCAACCCATCATGCTATCTCTGTAGCAGACTAGGCTATAAAAATGATTTCTTGGGTACTTCCAAAGATAATTGCCTTCCCTTGGAAGAAATCCAGAACAAGCCCACATTAAGCTAAATTCTGCATTAGAGTGGGCTGTCATAGAGTTGGAAGGATTTATTCCAAGCGCCTAGAAGGCACATGAAAGATGAATAGATAGAATTTGTCAGATTTTCTTTTACCTTTAAACATATCCCAGTGCAGTGAAGGAAAAAATGATAAAGTCATTTTGTTCACACACAAAGACATTTTTAAACATCATCACAATTGGTACATCTATCTGGTTGTCAGTTCCTGAGAAATCAAAGACAGAGTCAAAGATACACATACCTCACACAAAACATTGTCTGCATTGTTCATGAATGATAAAAATTAAATGAATTTAGTGTAAATGTATGAAACTACAGTGAGGGAATTAAAAATGAAAATCTAGATTTTACTTGTTGAATTTTATAAAGCTGTTTATTCAAGATTATTCACTCATTATATTTCCCATGTCTATCTAATTATAAAAAAAGGTTGTGATATTTTGGATATAAATTAATAATGAATTTACATTTTCCTAAAAAATTTTAATGGCTTATGATCATATCTGTGTAATTGTTTTAAACATTCATATTAGAGATAAGCATTAATGATTTCACAGAAATATTATAATATATTATTCAAAAGTATCACAGTTAAACAGAATATGATATTAACATAAATATTCTCATGAATTCTTCAAAACCTAAATGAAGTGTTACATATTTTTAACAGTAGGATTTTCTAATAAGCTTAAAATGACTTTTAACTTTTATTTTCATAACTGTTATTGAGTTAGACGTTGAAAGTATGCCATGATTTTTCTTTTGATCTTATTTGTAACTTTTAAGAATATACACTGTTCATTAATAAACTTTAAAATACTCATAAAAATGGAAAGAATTAAAAATACTAGTTGTCGCTGGAGATTCCATATTCAAGTTGGTATGTGTAGAATTGATAGATGAAGCCAAAAGCAAGTAGAGTATTTCATAACAAGAATCTTAATGGAAAATCACTCGAATATAACATCTGATGACTAGGGAATATACCCAAAGCCTTTAGACTGTCGGGTTTTTACATTGCAGTACTGAGCAACCTCCCACATGACAATCACATTCCTCCCATGCTATGTAGAAATGAAATGGAAAGCATGACCTCACCACCTCCAACTACTTATCAGCAGTTCTCCTTTGACATACCTCAGGTTATACTTCAGGTCAGGATTAGGGCTAAAAGAAGTATCCTTGAAGTGGACATATTTCCCTTCTTATTCTATGGTATGCTCTTCCTTGGAGTCTCTTACTAAAATCTGGGCCATCAAGGAAGGAAAATCAACAGACTTAAGGGAAAGGCACAGAGCACAGGTGGGAATTTGCATTACTCAAGACTCTATATTTTAAAAAGGGGTCATTTATATTTATATACTCCATGTTGACTAATCATCCCTCTAGTTATGATTGCCTTGATTAGTGTCAATTGCTATAACTACAATCAATGCCCAATTGAAACATTTAGGCTGTTAGCAGTTGAGACAGAGTCAGGAGTCAGAAAGGACCTGTTTCAAGCCTTTCACATACCCCTTCACATATTCACTATAAAAGGTAGAAAGTTACTTTCTTAGTGCCTATGAGCATCCAAGTTGAAATCCATAACTAAGGATTACAGTGCTTACATCATAGGATCATTGTGAGAAGTCAGATGTGTAGCAGAGAGCCTGACTCTTAAGGAGAGGTTATTATAACATTCTATAGGACAACATTCATCACAACTGAGGTTCAGTGGCTTAGTGGCAGGGGAGGAGACCTGGAAGCCTCAGTCATCTTTCACTAACCTCTGGTTACCTGTCCAAGATCTCTCTCCTCACCTAAAGCTGTCATTCTCCTTTGAACGCTTTCCTCTTTCCTCACCATAATCTGTAAAGCTAGTATAGACTTTTATTGTTAATCATGGTATGAATAAGGCTTAACAGAACTATGGCCTTTTGCTTTTTTTCAATACCTAAATAATCTCTAATTGAGATGTTGGAGGAGTTTTCTTGCTGTGCAGGGGAAAGCTCCATTACATTAAAAAATAATAACAATACAGTACCTATACAGAATGATGAACTATTGACTGGGATAAATCTAGCATCTCTGTATTTACTGTAGGGAAGAGTTCTTTATGGAGAGAAGTTAACCAAATGGATGGCTGTCAAAAGAACCATGCTTGTAAATATTATAGTTTAAAAAAGTTTATTGAAGTCCCCCATTTATTCTCAGAGGATTACTATAAGCTCCACAACAACAGAGATCTTGTCTGTTCTTCACTCATATATTGCAAGTGCCCTGAATAGTGCCAGTAATAGTGAAAGCTCAGTAAACTTTTGTTGAAAGAGTGATGAAAATACCTAATTAAACTCCTGTCCTTCATTAGAAACTTGCAAACAAAGAAAATAAAAGCAACCACACTGATTTATCAACCAAAAAAATAATGTTTCTAGCATTTTGTTTATGAAGACAGCCTCTGACATGTAGTCCTGGGTTTGATTTGAACTGTGTGGCCCTTTGTAAATCACTTAATTTCCCTGTGCCTCACTTTTCCTTTCTGTAAAATGTGTATATGCTACCTCATAGTGTTGTCATTATGATTAAATAAGGTACTGCATGAATAAAGAGCCTACAAATTTCCTGGCATAAAGTAAGCACCCATTAAATGTTGGGTGTTTTTATTAAAACTTGAAATTTCACTGAGGAAGGCACTAAGACCCTCGAAGTAAATGATAGCTAGACGTCCCACAGCCAGTTGGCAAAGTTAGAACTAAACAGTAACGTTTCTGTCCAATCTATGAAAAAGCTTATTCTACCACATCAGGCTGCCTGCTTATGTCTTTATATATACTACCTAATATGTGTGTGTGTGTGTATACTTTCTAATATATACTTATGTACGTAAGTGTATACATAATATATGCTTTCCAATATGTATTCTGTATATGCGTGCTAGAAAACAACAAAGATGAGTGTGGTTCACGCTCTCTGGCAAAGACCGGAAAAATGCATGATTCTGAGATGCCTGCTGAAAATGAGAAAACCTTGAACCATGCCAAACAAAGCAGTTAATATAACTGCCCTAACCTCAAGTTTAGCACACTGATCAAGTTGGAAATTTTGTTCTGGAACATTTGCAAAGGCACAGATCCAGGGAAACGGGAATCAAATGCAGTAATTCTGCAAGTGTATTCAGGATGAATATAATATTCAGTGTCACCAGGCACCTCACTCCCCCCGCCCCCACCCCCGCCGTCTCACCTCCCTCCCTTAGATCCTGCCACTCCCCTCTGCTCCTGCTGGAAGCACTGGGCGGGCTGCTCTCCCGGCTACAGCGGGCGGGGCAGACGCGCTTAGCCTAAGCCCAGGGTCCAGGAGCCCGGAGGGAGGTGGAGGCAAGGCGAGGCAGCAGGCGCTGAGTAGAGCTCAGTTGGAGCACAGTTTTCCTCCCGGACGGGTCGAGTCAGACCTCACGTGTAGACCAAGAGGATCAAAGGAAGGGTACGTTACCTGCGGCGCCGGTTGTGCGCAGATCAGATGTGCCAGGAGCTGCAGGTGAGTCACTTGCTCTTCCCTCCCGCCCCCACCTCCTCGTCCCGAGTCCAACAGGTTGGATGGAGCGTAGCTTCCAGCAGCCCTGTGGGTTCACTTCTAGTCTCACCTGGGCGCTGGCCTCGGCTTCTCCCTTTAACGAGGGAGGCCGTCGTTACTATTTAAATTCCTGCCCCAGCCCACGCTTGTTCTATTCCTTGCCTTTTTGCCTTTCCTTCTAAAATGAGAGCTCCGCTGTGCTCAGAACACCTGCTCTCCGGGAAACTTGTAGGGACAGAAATGGCTAAAAGGAAGGGTACCTCAACAAAGTGCCTCAACACGAGGTGTACACTCGACAGGGTGGGAACTGACAGTGACATTCCTAGTTCTTAGTGACCCACTGGGGCTTCAATAAAAAGTCATCATTAATTATTCTTGTTTCTTAACCAGGAGGTCAAAACCTAAGGGAGACAGGGGAAGAAAATGGAGCGTCAGTGATCATCAGACTAGAATGAAAGTGAATTGGGAGAAAATGGTGCGGTCCCCTCACCCAGAGCACCCTCCCCCACCTGCTCACATCCCCAGCGAACACCCCCGGGGAGGCCTATGAGGCAGCAGTAAAAGAAGAGGGAGGAATATAAAGTCTCAAGTTGGAAGGGACCCGGTTACCACTTCCTTTGCTTTCTGAACTTTTTGTTTTGGTCTCCTGCGGGCAGGAGTGAGTCTCGCCATCCTCCTTGCTTGCTTGCTTGCATCCAGCTAAGAGTCATCTCTCTTCTTCCTCCTCCTCCGCCCCACATCTCCCTCCTTCCTCCCTTCCCCAACCCCTCCACCCACCAAGTAGCGAGTCATTCAATCTGTACACCTCCTGGGCTGGGAATCGCAATTGCGAAGTTGGGAGGCGGGGTGACGGCGTTTGAGAAGGGCCAGGGCGACCGGCAGTGTGCACAGGGACTGTGTCGGGCTTGGACCTCACCTGATCCTTTCTCTTAGAGCGACCCTTCCTCTGCTCCCAGTCTCCTTTCTCTGCCACTTGTGCGCTGCTTCCGCGCACTCGCGGCTCCCTAGCGGCAGGAGGAGGAAGGAGCACAGCGGGTGGAGAGAGTGCGCCAGGGAGAGGTAACCCCTTCGGGAGCCCGGGGAATCCCGGTCGCCACCAGGGGCCGTGCCACCGCCCTCGCGGGACCAACGCTTCCGGCGTGTCCCCAACTTTGTGGCGCCCTCAGGCCGCGGCGACTGGGATAGAGATGCCTTCCAGCGGCAGAGCGCTGCTGGACTCGCCGCTGGACAGCGGCTCCCTGACCTCCCTGGACTCTAGTGTCTTCTGCAGCGAGGGTGAAGGGGAGCCCTTGGCGCTCGGGGACTGCTTCACGGTCAATGTGGGCGGCAGCCGCTTCGTGCTCTCGCAGCAGGCGCTGTCCTGCTTCCCGCACACGCGCCTTGGCAAGCTGGCCGTGGTGGTGGCTTCCTACCGCCGCCCTGGGGCCCTGGCCGCCGTGCCCAGCCCTCTGGAGCTTTGCGACGATGCCAACCCCGTGGACAACGAGTACTTCTTCGACCGCAGCTCGCAGGCGTTCCGCTATGTCCTGCACTACTACCGCACCGGCCGCCTGCATGTCATGGAGCAGCTGTGCGCGCTCTCCTTCCTGCAGGAGATCCAGTACTGGGGCATCGATGAGCTCAGCATCGATTCCTGCTGCAGGGACAGGTACCCCGGAGGCACACGGCGGCTGGGCGGGGAGGCGGGCGCGGCAGAGAAAGAGAGGAAGGCACAGGTAGATTGGAGGCTTTACATAAGCTTCGCTGGAGCCAGGCCTAGCAATAAGGTGTGGCCACTTCTGGGTTGACAGGTGGGGTGGGGGTGGGGGACTGGAAAGCGTCATTGCCAACTTTTGAATATAACTTTTTGAATCTCTTTGTTCCCTTTTTTGAGTATGCTAATTTAACGTATAAGGCAAGGGACTTCAGGCCCACAATAAATATTTGGTGACTGAATAAATGAATCAGAAAAGCCATGGTCCAAAAGATGCATGCATAGGGATAAAAGATTTGGCACGCAGCATTATCATTCATCAAACCTAGAACACTGACTGTAAAACTTGAATGGAGAATTGTTTTAAATATAGAAGATGAAAGGTTGGTCCCTTGATTGAAAGATTGTGGAACTCTGAGGTTACCTTGCTATTATTACCATTTCTTCATGAATACATTTCCTTTACACACACGAAAAAGTTCCATCTGCCAAACATCTGTTCTTGTTACCAGAAAATGGTTAATAAAATGTATTAATCCAAAGTAGCTTTGCTATGTATAAACTTCTAAGAAAGTGTCATTTTAAAAATTATAATCCAGGCCGGTGGTGGTGGCTCACGCCTGTAATCCCAGCACTTTGGGAGGCCGAGGCGGGTGGATCACTTGAGGCGAAGAGTTCGAGACCCCCCGCTCCCAGGCAACATGCTGAAACCCTGTCTGTACTAAAAATACAAAAATTACCCGGGGTGGTGGCACACACCTGTAATCCCAGCTACTCAGGAGGCTGGGGCAGGAGAATCGCTTGAACCTGGGAAGTGGAGGCTACAGTGAGCTGAGATCACTCCACAGCACACCAGCCTGGGCCACAGAGCGAGATTCCATCTCAAATAAAATAAAATAAAAAGAAAAATAATCATAATCCTAAGGGAGAAATTCTGAAAACTGTGGATAAGACACAACCTAACTAAAATATGAATAGACATTTTTCTCCATTTCGTTGAATGAAAAGTCTGACCTCCCTGCCATGTTTAATTATCTTATACTTCTGTATTTTAATAAAGTTTGACTAATCACCAATTGTTTTCTCTACAAGATACTTCAGAAGAAAAGAGCTGAGTGAAACTTTAGACTTCAAGAAGGACACAGAAGACCAGGAAAGTCAACATGAGAGTGAACAGGACTTCTCCCAAGGACCTTGTCCCACTGTTCGCCAGAAGCTCTGGAATATCCTGGAGAAACCTGGATCTTCCACAGCTGCGCGTATCTTTGGGGTCATCTCTATTATCTTCGTGGTGGTGTCCATCATTAACATGGCCCTGATGTCAGCTGAGTTAAGCTGGCTGGACCTGCAGCTGCTGGAAATCCTGGAGTATGTGTGCATTAGCTGGTTCAGCGGGGAATTTGTCCTCCGCTTCCTGTGTGTGCGGGACAGGTGTCGCTTCCTAAGAAAGGTGCCGAACATCATAGACCTCCTTGCCATCTTGCCCTTCTACATCACTCTTCTGGTAGAGAGCCTAAGTGGGAGCCAGACCACGCAGGAGCTGGAGAACGTTGGGCGCATTGTCCAGGTTTTGAGGCTGCTCAGGGCTCTGCGCATGCTAAAGCTGGGCAGACATTCCACAGGTATTCAGATTTCATTGATGAATTCTAATTTGCATTGCATGTCAGCATTCGTTATTTGACCACAGTACAAGGAAAGTAACGCTGAACTGATATTCAAAATTACCGACTCCCATACTTTACCCGATCGTGACCTCTAAGGAGATACTGGGAAGATAAAACCTTGAAGTTGTTATCACAGGTGTAGAGAAGTGAGCTCTCACATACCTCCTCTCCATAAGAGAAATATTGAGAGAAAATTTGACCATTTGCTAACCTCAGTTTATTTGAAACCATTGCCCAGAAGATTTACAAAAATTAAAGGCACTCTGCCTCTTCAAGGTTCTAGACCAAACAGGCCTAAATGACACATAAAAAGATACACATAAGTTATATATGATATATAGGGACATAAACCAATTTCTCTTCAGTATCCAAGAAGTGCTTGCCACATATACTCCTTGGCAGAAGGGAAAGTCAGCCCTTCAGAGCATTCTCTGGCCATGCAGAAAGGGAAATGACTAGGCAAGGTGGCCTTTCCAAAATTTTCGAAGAAGCAATGAAAATATTTTGCTTTGGGAGAAAGCAAAATGAACTAATTAAATGCTTTATCTAGTATCTGAAGGTTTTCTTGTCCCTAACCTGGGATGTATGAGAGAGGGGAATACAGAAATCCCTTAGTTTTTTGTGTGTCATAGAGCCTTTGAAAATACAATTAATATTTTCCTAGAAAAGTCTCCATATAACACACACACAAACACATAGGTACGTGAAAATTATAATCAATATCAGTGAAAATCACAGCAACTGATTAAAAATGATTCTTGCATCCCCAACAGTAGTAGTTATCAGTGGCTGGCCCTGCAACTGTCAGATGTTTTGGAGTACATGAGTTTTCTTATGACATACCTTAATGAAAATAAGAATCCCCAGACAAGCTTGTTGAAATACAGCTTCTGGCTCCAACCCCCAGAAAGCTTGAGATCGGATCTAGGAGCACACATTTTATAAATAATAAGTTCACCAATGACTTTGATGTAGGTGGTTCTTGGACAAAACCTTAAGAAACACTGAAGTATGATATCATATTAATTTTATATATGTTGACACAAATACATATTAGCACAAACAAATTGACTACAGATTACTATCCCTATTTTATTTCCCTAGATATGTGCCCTGACTGACCACCTAAAAAAGGTTGATGGTAGTTGTCCTTCTAATAAATGTTGAGTGAAATTAACTTCTGACATGTTTTTCTTCAACATTTCTCTGGTAATTAGAACTTATTATAATATAATTTTGGTAGTGTATTTTCCTAGCTAGTCTCACATACCAGGAATTTGATAATGGGGTTTCTAACAACTTTTACAAGTACCACTCTTTGTTTTCTGACACAGATAATGGGATGCTTTCTTCAAGTATTTATAAACTCTTCACAAGACTCAATTTAAAAACACCCAGTAAAGACTACATTTTTTTCTAGAAGAAAGGAAAAGGAAAATAACAGTAATTTCCACAATGTCACCTCTTCAAAGATTTTCTCCATTCTAAAACATGTATAAAGTTTTAGCAAACCCTTAATTATTAAAAATATATGACGAGGATATTTGACAATTTTTGCCTCAACACTACACTTATTAAAATGTAAACATAGATGACCTATTTCCCCATGTATTAATTATAAATAAAAATTGAGAGGTGTTATAGAATAACGGGTTTTTGGCCCGACAACTAGGTTTAAATCATGGCTCTGTAGCTTTCTACTAGATAAGCTATCTCTTCATGCCTCAGCCTCCTCATCTGTATAATGGCATAACAATTACCTTGTCCCTCTTACATCCTTTCTTTTGAGGATTCTCTGAGTTAATAGAGATAACATGCTAGAAATTCCACCCACTTTGTTTTCCTTTACAAAATTGTTTCGAACATTTGCTTTGAATTAAAACAGTGTTCCCAGACAAATGCTATGCATCTCCTCACGTGTTTTGAATTTATTTAAGGAACGTAATTCCATGTAGACACATCAAGGCCAGTTCTTTATAAAGGTAAAGATATTATAAAGGTATTCTGAAAGATATTCTTTTGAAGTTAAATTTCAAACTATTCAATGATCTTTAAAAATAGCTGGTTAATAATTCAAGAATATCTCAAACTTTGAAGAGCAAGATTCAAAATCATAAGAGTATGATTAGTATGTTAATGCATTTGAAATAGTTTCTAGTGAGTGAATAAAAACAAAAAATGATACTAAGGGTTATTATTTTGGACTTCTGAGGCAATATCATTTTGACATCATGTTGATATAATTTCAAAATGTGGACAAACTTTATTGACCACCTCTCTAGTATTAAGGAATAAATCGTATGGTTCATTCAAAGCTTGGTTCCATAATGGGCTTTTCTTTCTCTCTTTCTTTCTTTTTTTTTTTTCTGAGACAGAGTCTTATTCTATTGCCCAGGCTGGATTTCAATGGCGTGATCTCGGCTCATGGCAAACTTCGCCTCATGGGTTCAAGTTATTCTCCTGTCTCAGTCTCCCAAGTAACTAGGATTACAGGCGCACACTATCACAACGGGCTGATTTTTGTACTTTTAGTAGGGGTTTCACCATGTTGGC